GGTCCCTTGAGAAGAATGAGCCCCAGCAGGCAAGTGGGCCAGGACTGGGTGCTTTTTCAGTCAAAATGAGGCAGGAAGCAACTTCCCAGGCCACAGGTTCCAAAGGGCCAGTGACCACAGGAGAAAAATGCTTGAGATAGTGGAGGCTAAATAAAATAAAGTGAAAGACAATGATCTAAACTTGTCTTTCTTAATATTTTTGAAAGTTGGACCCCCTTTGGTAAATCTAAGGCCATGTTCTGACTCTTACCCTGTGAAAAATGCGAATCTGTGCATTCCCACAATTTGACCCAGTCATTTTCAGGGAATTCACAGACCCCCTCAAAGCCTTTTCCTTGGCCTCTCCAGAATGTTCCAAGACTCTGGGAATTCAGTAGCCCTGCCAGTTTGACTGGTAAGACAAGCTGGGTTCCCGGCTTAGGCAGATCAGGCCCCGTCTAGTCAGAGCTCTGTAGGGTGGCCAAATGGCCTTCTAGGCTGAATGGGATCCAAGAGCATGCACACTCCAACCAAGGTTACAAATATCAGTTTGGTGCCGTGTCTGTTATGAGAAGGCCACTGCAGCTGAGGAGTAGAGGAGGTGGAAAGCTGGCTGTGGGCTCACAGACCATGGCATTGGCACTTGGGTCTTCACAGACCTTTGGGGAGAGTTGGATGTTTCTCCCTAGTGTCTTTCCCCCCTTGTAATAAGCCAAATAGAATGTTGAGTTTGTGCTGTTTCTTGCTTGAAAACAAAACAAAACAGAATACATGTAAGCCCGCGTGGGATCTTCTCTCTGGCCCACGTCTGCCATTCTACCTCCACTGCTGAGCCGAGAGTGAGAGTGAATGGAGAGCCCATGGGTGCACTTGGGACACAGATTGGCTTGCCCCACTGGTTTGGACAAGAAGATATCCACACAGCAGAAGCTCAAGTCAAATGCCTGCTGCCTTCTCAGTTAGTCTCGGAGCTCCCAGCATCCCGATCGGCCCCAAGGCTCCATACTCCCCAGACTGTAACACCGAGGTGTTAGCTTCCTCAATAAAATATTCCATTTATTGATCATCTCAGCTTTCTTAGGGTTCCCCACCCCCAAGAAATTAAGAAAAGCAATTCAATGGGCGGCTTCTGGACACTCTCCCTCTCGCCCATTTGCCTTCTTTTTCTCTCTTTCCTCCTCTTTCCCAGCTGCCGAATTTCTCTCTTGGTGGTCAGAATGCCTTTGACCTAAAACTCTTTGGTGTCTGCCTGCTTCAACCAGGCCTGTGCAGTTGCCGGAGGCCCACATTTTATTTAGGAGTAAATATTGCTCATTTCTACCTGGTTCATTACACCCCCATTCAGCTATGGAGCTGAAGTAAATGCCAGGCTAGTGAAATAAGCCCTCTGTTGAGAATTACCCTGCAGTTTACCAGATAGTGGATTCCCTCTCCTGAGTAGGCCCTTGCAAACCACGAGAAATAATAAACTGTTATTACAAAAAAAATTCTTACAAAGAGTACCAGGTACTGAGATTGAGCTAGCTAGTAAACAATTTGTATCTGGAGATTGCTCTCAGTGCTTTCTGGGCGCAGTATTATCTGATCGGCTGTGGAGTTGAGATGCAGCCCCGGAGAGGGAAAATAAATGCTACTTTGACATATTCGGCTTTAACAAAAATTCTGGACTGTTTCGATTCATGTATTTACCCCATAGTTTAAATTTTGGAAGGAGCAAAGACTTGCTTCTCCCATTCGTCTTTAAGAATGTCAACATTTTCAGGAATACAGTATTTGATGTGTCTTTTAGAATCAGTCTATCCCTAAATAATCTGCTTAAAAGTTTTTTCTAAATCCAACCACTGAACTGGCCCTTCTCTCCTGATGGGGGAAGTGTTGGAGACTTTTCGTACACCCCTCACATACACCCCTCAATTGCAGTATCCTCAGTTTTGTTCATCATAAACTGCCTCTGGCCTGGAAACGATATTAGGAAAGGCTTGGGCTGCAAAGAGCAACGTGTGGGCACCCACTCCTTGCTTTATTCTGGCAGAGTTTGAGAGACCATACTCAACAAAGACTGGTGACTGTGATCGCAAAAGTATACACTCATCCACGGCAGCGTCTACTTTCTCTGAGATTCCCCCCCCCCACCCCACTCACCCATGCATGGTATATTTGTAAAAAGAAAATAACCATTTCAAGAAACTAATGAAAACATACTGGAATAAAAAAATGAAATATAGGAAAAGTGGGAATTTGAGTTTGACTTCCAAAATGTAAGTGATATGATTATTTTAAACTTGTTTTATGACAACTCTGGTGGAGAGATTGTTTGATCAGAGTTTATCCTCACTGCCAGCCTTGGGAAAATGTATAGGTATTTACCAATACAATTTTTGCACATTTGCAAAATATGCAAAATATTTCATTTTTACATCTAAGAAATTGCTGCAAACCTCCAGCCAGGTTTATAGCGGTACAGTCCAAATAAGCAACACAGGTTTCTCTGGTAGCCTCAAAAATATAATGCGACTTCTCTGTATTAGTCTTTTTCAGAACAAAGGTTACCTCCAGTCTGTTGGGCAAACCTAGAGAACACACCTAGTAGGAAATCAGCTACTTCCCTGACTTCTGCCCAAGGGAATAAGCCCGCCCCAGTGACCACAGTCGCTGACCACTTCATTGTTTCGAGGAGAAACTCTGTTTTCCCCAATCCCGCCATCTCCTCCCCCCCCCCCCTTTTTTAAACCACCATAAGCCGGTATGCCAGTACAGCCAGGAGGATGTTCCCCATCCCTGGTTCATCCCGTTCTGAGTATTTCTACAAAATCTAAAGATCGCCTCAGGTGAAATGCTGGCGCAGAGAGTTAAAACCGTCAACTTCTCCACTGGGGCCTCCCCCTGCTTTCCAACCTTAGGGAGCGATGGGAGAAGGGGGGTGGGGTGGGTTGAGCGCCTATAGCGTCACCCCCAAGCTCACACACCCAGCCACTTTCCCCAGCCCTGCTCAGACACCCGGCCCCGCTCCCGCCCCAGCCAGATTGAAATTGCTAAACTTGTGGCCTCTTACCTTGACACATTTCCGAAATCACTGCCAAGGGACAGCTGGCTTCTCCGCGCCGCGACGCCTGCGAGGCCTAGAGAAGGCGCATTGCTTTAAATTACAACACCAACCACTTCTTGAAGGTGAGCCCCCCCTTTTTTTGATACGGAGGAGAGCGGGACAAGTGAAATAAGGTAACGTGCTGCTCTTAGTATCAGAAGCGAACAAAGGCCAAGAATCGCGCTGGGGTTCCCAGCTCCCCGGCGGCTTTGACATTGATCGGAAGTGCGCCATCTCGTGGTGGCCGAGCGCCTAGACCCGGCCCGAACTCCTGCCCGCAGCCGGGAGAGGAGAGCAGGCTCAAGGCAGAGACAAGGAGAGAATGTGCCCAGCCCGCTGCTAAAGAGATCTCATTTTTACATCTAAGAAATTGCTGCAAAACCCCAGCCGGGTTTATAGCGGCGCATTCCAAATATGCAAATTGGCCGGCCCCGGACGGGTTTACGACCACATTGTCACAGCCATCGGAGGATGGGCTTTTATAGGGCTCAGAAATCAAACCCGCGCCCGCTCGCCGCCGCCCGCCCTCGAACAGTCCTCCTGGCTAGACTCTCCCTAGCAACTTGTGAGACTTCGGTTAATCTTTAACCGTCCCAAAGGAAGTCTTTCCTTAAATCTTTGGCTTCCCTGCCCGCTCCCTCCCTGCCCCGCAGGAGAGTTCTTGTTCACCTCTGTGTGTCTGTCTATCAACCTAGACATTCATCTCGGGGTCTGTCCCATTCCCCTTTGAGCTTGATTTCCCCAGTCGCGCCAGTTAGACAAACACGCAAACAAATAAACAAAGCGGGAGTCTGGGGTCTGGGGCCTCTCTCCAAATTCCATCCCCTCTGCTGCTGTCTCTGATCCTGCCTGGGTGGCTAGGGAGAGAGAATGGGATGGGGTGGAATTTTATCTTGTATATGCTCCTAGGAACCTGTGACAGGCTAGAGGAACTAAGATTCTCAGCAGGCACTGCAGCACTCTAGTGGGAGGGTGGAGGGTGGGGGTGGGGTGGACAAACAAAAGGCACTGGCCTTTCACCCTGCCCCTCAAGGTTATGGGTGATGTCCAAATTTAAGGCAGAAGTTCAAAGGCAGGAAACAAAGAAAACCAGCATCTTTCTTTCCCCAAAGGGGAAAGGCAGCCTCAGCTGGGAGCTGGGGAGAAGGCGCCCTTAGATACTCCTGTGGGTCTGCTCCTTGCACCTAGACCAGTCTCCCCCTACTGAAGGACTCCCCAGGGCACCCCCGAGTGCTTCCACTTCAGGCCTTCTAGTCTGGAAATGGGTGAGCCCAGCCTGGGATCAGACCCATTGGCCAACTCAAGTCCCAAGGCTTTCTCCCAGGGCTGTGTCTGTCTGAGGGGATGAAGCGCCATATTCCAGGCCCTGGGATACCCCATTCCTGAGACCCCACTTCCCCAAAGGACCTGGCCATTCATCTTGACTTCCTAAGCCTGGCTTCTAATGGAGTTAAACCCTGAATAAGCCACCTCCCCACCTCCTCAGGGGCCTAGTAACTTGCCTCTTTCCTAAGGGGGGTAGTGGTGTGGGGGGGGTGACATTTGGCAGTAAAAGGCGAGTAGGGAGAGGAATGTCACACCAGGACCCAATACTCAAGTTTCCACAGTCTTTATTTTCCTTGTGCCCTGTCGCCTATATACATGCTGCGACTTACGCGGTGGGCTAGAACAGAGGACAGGCCATCACTCCCTTTATACACAGAGCCACCAGATGCTTCTTCACATGGGGAGGCAGAGGAGATTTAATGGGAGGGTGTCTACCTTTCTCAGCTGAGTTCCCCAGACCCTGACTGGCTGAACTACCTCAGAGTATCTCCCTAATGCTTTTCAAATATTGCAAAAAATTAAAAAGACCATTCCCAACACCCTTCCCGTCCCCTCCAATACCCCAAAGGCAATCTACTAATGGCAAAAAAAAAAAAGTATTGAAACAAAATAGGTTATGGTTCCTTTATTTACAAGTCTTTTGAACACCATCCCTGTATGAAGCGTACATTCAAATATTTTTAGCAGTGAGTGAGTTTAACCGTGGAACACTGTAAACAGATAGAGCCTTTAAATATTCTCTTCATCATCTTTCTCCCCCCCTCTACATTGCATCTTTTAAAATTCACTTTGGTTCTTGCAGGGAAATATATATATATATAATATAATATTTATCTTTTAAAATAATTCCAAATCACTCTTGAGCTCTTAGAAGGTCACCGAAAGCTTCCAGGCTCAGTTCTAGGGTGGCGAAGGGCAGAGTGCGACGTTGAAACTGGGTGTTTGGGGGACTCAAGCTCCTCATAGCTGGGGACTGCTGGCCAGGCCCGCTGCTCCACTGAGCAAATCCAAGCTTGAATTAAGTGTGGCATAGACTTTGCCAAATTGCCGCACTCCACAGGCATTTCCTGCAGGGATCCGGGGGCCAGCGGCCTGGGTGCAGCCTCTAGGCTTTTTGATATCTTCCACCTCAGGGAATGGTCTGCTCTGCTACCAGGCTTTAGGCCCAAAGTGGCAGGCCAGACGAAGACCCTCGTCGATAGGAAAAACTAGGTGGGTTGCAGAAGGCAGTTGACTGCTAGAAGCTCGGGCCTAGGACAGTGCGGTGAGTGGCTAGGAGGAGTGGAGAGCCACTGATGCCACCTGGGATGGTAGATTATTTTTCCCCTCAAGGATCAACAGCCTTCTCCCACCTCCCATCGACCTCTTAATCCAGTCATCTTTCACATTAACTTTGGAAAGCAGTCCCAATCCAGACATCTAGGAATCCTCTCCTTTCCTTCTGCTCCTTTTCCCAAACTGAATTGGGTTTGGCGATCTTGACACAGGGGTCCTAGAGGTGACCAGGCTCCGTGTGGAGGGTCCTGGGTTGGGATAATTTTCCCCGGGGGGGCGGGAAGGGGGCCCAGTCCCTGATGGAGACCACACCCAGCCCATAGCTCTAGCAGTCTCCAAAGGTGAACCACCAGAGGCCCCAAACCATTCATTCTCATTGATGCACAACTCTCTGAATCCAAGTATCATTAGAAATCTTAACCACCACTGGGCGGTCTCCTTCCAGGCTGTCTCCGTGTATTGCCTTCCTTCTCTTGCACATCTCCTTTCTTCAAAAGTCACCGCATGCCTTGACCTTGTCAAGGGCAAAATCTGCATATAATCTCCTGTGTATGAAGCCCCCCTCCCAGGTCCAGCTGGCTGGAGCCTTTAGAGAAGCGGATTGGCCGAGTAGTACTGTAAACGGTCTCTGTTAATTTTTTTTTCCTTCATTCTTCTGTTCTGAAACCAGATTTTGACCTGACGGTCGGTGAGGTTGAGCATGCGGGATAGTTGCAGGCGTTTCTCTTTGTTGATGTACACACTGAAGAAGAATTCGCGCTCCAGCTCCCGGATCTGGTACTTGGTGTAGGGGCAGCGTTTCTTTCGGGTTCGTTGGCCACCTGTGAAGGCCGAAAGAGGCAGGGAGTGAGCCAGGTGTGACGGTTGCAATCCATCCCAGAGCCCCAAGTGAAGGGAAAGGGCCGGCCCCAGGGACTGGAAGCCCTGCCTCAAGCCCAAGCAAGCTTCCCCCACTAAGTCCCTGCCTTCAGGCTCTTACTGCCGGCTGGGGGAGAGGCTGCGGGAGGAGGCTCAGCTCCGGATAAAAGCCAGCTCCCTAGATAGGCCCCCAGGGAAGCTGCTTACTCTGCTCCGAAGCAGAAAGGAGGGTTCCTCACTGCAACAGGCGAGTTAGTGCCGCGGAAACCGCTTTCAAAGCGGCGAGTGGGGGTTGCCGGCTGCCTCCAGCCCAGCCAGACTAAACAAACAGCCGCCCGCGACCATTTCACCTTCCAGCACCTGGGAGGCCGAGTCCCGAGGCAGTAAAGGCGGCCCCAGCCCCAGACTTTACCGGCTTTGGCGGCACTCGGCCCTCCTTAACATCTGGGGGCAGCTGCCGGGTCTTTGTCAGCCTAAGTCCTGGCCACCAGCTCCTGCCTCTCCGGCCAGCACCCTGGCTTCCGCGGGGTGGGGAGGTGGCAGCGGAAGCCCCCTACTCCGGACCTTCCCTAAGGACCAAGGCCACCCAGCCATCCTGGTGCTCTGGCAGGGCTGGGGTGCTGTCCCCGATAGGCTGGAGGACAGAGGGGTTTCCCAGAGCTGCGGGCAGGCTCGACTCGCACCCCTTTCAGTAAAACGCCACTAGAAGTAAAGACAAAACCCGCTTTTGACAGATTGAATAACAATTCTAACATGCAGTCGGACACAAGGCAGCACACGCAATTGCCACTGCGCCCAAGGAAAATGGCTTCCTTTGGACAAAAAGGCCAACTTTGGGTTAATTTGTTTCTTTTAATATATTGCTCGAGCTAAGCGGGCTATTTTATCTGTTAAACACGCTCCTAGCGCCATCGTTAAACAGCGATGCCTTTGAATCCTGGCCGGGACTGGAGTCCCGGCGCAACACATGGCTTTTATAAAAATCTCCGGATTACCTCGCTATCAAAGGCTCCCGAACCCTTGCAGGGAGAATTTACAGGCGCCCACCTCCGGCTCCCCAGCCCTGAGCTGGCCCCGAGCGGGGTCGAGCTGCTGGGCTTTGGAGCCGAGAAGGGAAAAAAAGGGGAAAAGGGAGGTTTTTTGTTTTGTTTTGTTTTTTTTTTTTGCAGGCATGCCTTGGCCGGTGGGTATTTCACGGCCAATTTCAGCACTCGCCACGTGATCCCGCCTTTTATAACAAAGTTTTGTTGGGGGGAAACCTAAAGGCCCTTCATAAACCTTATATGCTTATAAAACAGCATATAAAAATTTAACAGCGGTGCTGCGCTAGATTTCCAACTCCCCTTTCATAAAGCGCTGGGCGCGCTGCCTTTTATACGTACTGGAGCCGCCGGCCTTGTCCTCAGTGTGGCCGGAAGACGACTCGGGGCTGCTGCTGCTCTCGGGGCGCCGCCGCCGCTCCTTTTCCTCCGCCGCCGCCGCCGCCTCCCGGCAGCCGCCGGCGCCGCTGTCCGAACTTGAAGTTGCCGGCGTGCCCGTGGCCGCTGCCGTGGGGTGCCGTAGGCCGTCTCGAAAAACTGGTCGAAAGCCTGCGGCAGGACGCCGTTCCTGCCCACGGTGCTATAGAAATTGGACGAGACGGCGGGGGTGGGGTGGTGGTAGACGTTGGCCGAGCTCTTGGCCAGCACGTCGCCAGGCACGCCGGCCGCGCTGGGCGCCTGCAGGCAATCTCTGTGCACGAGCTCCTCCGCGGAGTAGCAGTGGGCCAGATTGCCGCGGGGGTGCCATTTACTGGCGGGCTCAATGGCGTATTCTCTGAAGGTCACTTCGCGCACGGGTTGGACCTGGGGCAGGTTGGAAGAGTAGGAGTATGTCATTGGGCGCGAAGACGGGGTCTGGGGTAGAAAAGAAGGGAGGCTGGAGAAATCTGGACCCGAGACGTAGTAAGTACAACTTGGCAAATACATGTTAGAGGAGCAGGGACCACGCTCATCAAAATCCATCATTGGGCTACCTTGGGCTCTCCGCAGTAGCCGAGCTTAACATGATTCTCCACTGCAGCTGCCTCTTTGAAGCGGATCCGTGAAGTAGAAATTTGGAGACGTAAGCTGACGTGGAAATCTATCCCCATCCTTAGCAGGGAGGTGCTGGTCATGTGACCCGATGTTGAAATTGACAAGCTGCGAGCGAGTCCGGGTTTTTTTTTTTTTTCCCCCTTTCCTTTCCTCCCCCCCCCCCTCCCTCCCCGGCTTCCTTTCTTTGTAGCCACCTCAGGGGAAGCAACAGATCGTCACTCGGTGTTCTCACCGAAAGCACGTAATCGCCGGTGTAACTCATGTTGGCTGGGGGGCCTCCCGGCGCGCGGCGAGGCTGGGTGCTACCCCGTGCCAATTGCTTGTGCTCAGCTGCACGGTGCTGGCCTTTGAGTGCGCCGAGGGCGATGAGAGAGCTCAACTGCCACCCACCTCTCCCCGGGTGAGGGATGCCACACGCTGGGGGTGGCCGGGTGGGAGCTCGTCGCTGCGTGGCCCGTGCGTGGTCTTGGAATCTATCCGCCTGGAGGCTCGCGTTCGCACCTCCTTCTGCGCTGTCCCCCTCCCACAGGCTTGCTCTGGGAACCACCTCTGCCTCCGATCCTGGCTGGACCCCCTTCGGGGCCAGGGTTCGCAGCCGTGGATGTGACTGCCTCGTGGCTTGCCCGATTTGCACGGTGACTTGATTACACGCTCGCATTCATGGTCACTTCCGAAGCGCTTTAGTGCCTTCCGTCCCTAAACCGCCAACAACCAGGGCGGCTTCCCCCGCGGTTTGTCAGGGATCCGCAGGTCCCGGAAGGGCCTTCGTCTCACCCGGGATCCACCTCTCTTTCGTTCTCCCTGCTGGCCTCCTCACCCCCCCACGCCCTGCCCTTGGAGAAACCCGCTCCTTCTCGCTGTCTGCCGGGGTTCGGAGGGACTCAACAGAGCCAGAGGCGCGGGGGCTGCGCCGCTGCGCACTGATCCGCCAGCCGGGTCTTCCGGAGCTGAGGACTCGGGAAACCATGCGGTTGAGGCGAGCCTTGGGCGGCTTCACAGGCGCTGACATCCGAGGAGACTACTCCTGGGTATGCTGCACCTTCCCGGAGCCCACATCCAAGCTCCAGAGCTGCAGGGAGACTGGGGGCCAGTGAGCGTAGGGCGAGGGCCCGGGAGCCGTGGCTGAGAAAGAGGTAACGCGCCTCCTTTCCTCTGCAAAGCCTGAGGGCCAGGGATGTGCAGGGCAAAAACTCAAAAGGACCGAGGCCTTTCCTGCTACTCATCCCACGGAAGGGACACAATGCCAAAGAAAAGAGATGTCCTTCCGAAACTCCCAGCACTTTGGATGAAAAGAACGCTTTGAAAAGGCTAGGTCTGAACTAAAGATACAGAGGTCATGGCGGCTAGGATGAGTCTAGGTTTCTTGGGAAGAGGAAAGACAGAAACTTGAGATGGTGAAAACTGCTTTCCATCCTCCAGGACTGAATGAACAATATTTGGGAGAAGAAGAAGAGGAGGGCATAGAGCAGCCAGGCAGGGCCAGGAGCTGGGAGGGGTCCAGCTTTGAGGCCTCCCCACAGCTATCTTCTTGGAAGGAACTGGATGCCGCTGAAGGAAAGTTGAAAAATGAAAAAGGATAACCTTTTCCCTTTCCCCATCCAGGAAATAGCTGAAGGTATTTATATATCTTGGGGAGATTTAGAGTATAAATTCTAAGATCTTTGGTATTTAAGTGTCAACATCGATTTATTTATTTATTGCTGAGCTGACTGTAACTGACTCAATAACAAATCTAATCATGTATTGCACTGGAAAAGAAATTTCTCATTATGTATTTTCTCCAAATGATGGCCCACCATTGCATTTGAATACCCGCTGTAAATATCAATAATATCGGGTAATTACTCTGTAGTGGAGTAAACTAATTTATTAGCATTCATGTTTATGTGGCTCCTACCCCCTCCTTTACAGGGGTTGCATATCACAAATCAAACTACTGGGACACATTGGTTTAATGAACTCTTTATTCAGGATTTGCTGCAAGAACTTCCATGCCCCTTGAATCCCTGAGAGCTGAACTTAAAATTATTTGTGCATCTTCAGCTTGACATATTTGTCCACAGTGGCTTGTGCAGAGGGCAGTATCGGTGAGAGTGAGAAGGTCTGGTGGGAAAGAACGTCGTTTGGGAAGGGTAGCTTGAGACCTCCTAAAGCTGGGGATCACAGTTGCAGGATTGCCCTACAGCAAAAAAAAAAAAAAACTTCTATTTTCAGCGGCGACCAACAAGGCAAAATATTTATTTCCCTACAGCATCTTTCTGGAAGACTGAATATAAAAGAGAGGAGAGGTTTTCAAACAGCAGTATTTAAGTCATACCTAGGCTTATTTTGGCTCTTTCCAACTCTCTCCCAGCAGCCCACCCAGTCCCCGCCACCCCGACCCTCGGACAAAAGGAATGCTTGAGGGGTTTCAGTGACTTTGCCATAACAAAGGCGCCACCACTGCGGGGCTTGCCCCGCCCCTGGGTGAAGGCAAACAAATTCTTGCACTTGTATTAGGGCTTTTAAGACTATAATTGAGCCTGGGGGCGTCTCGGAGAACCGAAAACAGTTCTAGACAGACCTGGGGTTTTATAGCAGTGTTGGCAGTCAACTTCAGCTTGTGCCTGAGCAGACCGGCTGCGGTGGCCCGCCAGCGGGGGACGCCAGGCTATCAACCCTGGCTGCACACAGCCCCTCTCCCAATTAGATCAGTTTTCCCCTTGATGCCAGGGGGAGGGGGTCACCCCAGAAAGGTCGGTATAGGGACCTTCTCTTCCACAGAGCCAGTGCCTTCCACTTTCTTGAGAGCCGAGCTAAGAGGGTGCTGGTCAGTCTGGATCCCATGGGTGTCTGCAGGAGACAAAGGCGAATTCCCGAGGAGAGGCGGGGGATAGGGAAGGTGCTCTGGGAGCTGCTGGCAGAACTGAAACGGGGTGCAGGTAGGGTCTTGCAGCCTGGAAGGGGGCAAGTGGGGGCGCTGCCGTGAAGATAGTTGAGAATAAAAGCTTTTGATGCCAGAAGAAGGGAAACTGCCTGGAGCGGTGAATGCTTTTTAGTTCTGCAGCAGGGACAGGAGGGGGTGCTCAGATCCCCAGTGCTGCCAACAGTTCCCAGCTTTGCCTGCTTCTCCCCCTCTGGCCTGGAATATACTCATGCTGTGAATGTTTTTTGGGGGGGAGGTGTTCGGAGGTGGGCGCAGCTCTGAGGATCAGACCAAATCTTGGGGAGGCAGAGCTTTGGGTCCTTGGTTTTAACTTTGCTCTGAGCCTAATTGACTCTTCCACTTTGCAGGAGGACCAATAGCCAAGTTGAGCCCACCCGGCTCAAGAGAACACCCGATGGGGTATAAGTCCGCCCTGGAAGGCCAAGTGCGAGTTGTGTTTTGTTTTGTTTTTTTGAGGAGTCCAAGATGGGCACGGCTGTGACATTGCCCCTGGAGACTGATTTCCCACGAGCTGTTCTTTCTCAGAAGCTCCACAGTGCAGGACCATCTCCAGAAAACAGTCTTTAGCGTGTATTTCCTTTTATCGTCAACCCGGAGCCCAACGGCAGCTATTGCGAGAGGCCAAAAATGTTTTGGAGGAAGAAAAACAAAGGCAGGAAGTGGCGGCGGCCTGACGGTGCGTGTGTGTCTGCGGAGAAGGGAGGGAGCCATTTCAATCTCTTCTTGTTTTTCCAAACTTCAAGGTCTAGGCAGCCCTAGCAGGGCCGGCCCGTCGCTCCCGGTGCAGCATTTGGAGATGGCCACCCGGACAGGCGAAGGCTGGCGCCCGAGCCAGCCTCGTCAGGCGGAAACGGCTAACGAGGCGATTTGCTCAGCAGAGTAAACCAAGTCTTTCCAAATTTCATTTGATTTGGCCCTAAAAGTCAGGGGTTGGGGGATTCTGCAACGCCTCCCAGACCTTCCTCGGCAGGCGGGCTGAGTGCGCCTTGCCGGGGATTCCTAAGCTCTGCACTCCACTCCACGCCTCTTCCCAGGTGGGATATGGGAATAAAGTGTGTCCAGGTGCATCTACCCAGCACTGCCGCCTCCCCTTCTTCTTGCAGCCGAGGGGTCTGGGAAGCAGCTGGAGGGTGCCTGCTGGCGGTGCCCAGGCTAGGTAACCTTGGCATGGTCAGTGCACATCAGGGCAAAGTGAGCCTTTTCACCTGAGTTATCCTGTGTGTGCATGTGTGTGTGTGTGGGGGGGGACGGAGAGTTGTTTCAAGCATAGTCATTCAAGGGACATGAGCAGAAAGGACCGTCACTTGATAGGCAGCCTAACAACTGTTCACTCCAAGGGAGGATAGAATTGGGGGGCAGGGAGTGCCTCCAGACTCTGGAGACTCAGACTCATCCCTAACTGATCATGCTCCTGGGTCACCTTCTTCTCTCTTTGGGGCTGACTTGGACTCTGGCAGTGGCTCATTGTCCCTGAATCTGAGAATGCGATGTCTCAGCGCCTGCACTTGCAGCCCTCAGACTGCTCAGTGCATAACCCTTAACATGAATGCCAACAGCAGGCTGCCCGCTCACTTTGTTTCCTCTCTAACCATCGTCTGTCTCTATCTCCCTGCGGCTCCTGCTTGCCAGTCGTCTGCTCTGCCCCTTTCCAGCCAAGTCTCCCTTTCTGTGGCCTCTTGCCTCTTCTGATACTTCCCCTATGCTGAGCCAGAGCTGAGGTGCCACTGGAGGCCACTCGGTTCGGAAAACACAGTTTCTCTGGAAGCTGGTTAGGTTCCTGACTCTTCTCCCAGTTCAGGCCTCCACCAGGGGTCTGAATTGGACCTCTCACCTCCTTCTTCTGAACATTCTATTCCAAGGCCCTACCAGGCTCTTTTTCTCTCCCTCCCTCTCTCATCAACATTCCCTTCTTCTCTTCTTGGAACTCAGCTCCTGCTTTTCTAGGCCTGGCAATCTTGGATGGCAGCTGGCCTGGGAGGGGCAAGGCCCACCTGACAGACCAAAATTCACTCCTAAAAATCTGTGGTTGTTTGTGGATCACATAAGGTACCTTTTTTTTTTTTTTTTTAATTGCTGAACTGAGCCCCTACCTTCCTCTGTTCCCAAATGTCACACCTGTTTCTAGAAAACCATAGCAAAAACTGTGGCAACCCTTGCACATTGTACACAGGTGCAAGAGCCAGATGGAGGACCCAGGATGAAAATGGCTATCAAGCCCTTCACAGGGTTGGAGGCCAGGTTCCCATTTGGAGGCTTTCTGTGTCCAAGTGGGAGATACCCTGGAGGTACATCTGTCTTCCTTGGTAAAGCCCAGGAGATCTCCTAGAATTTGTTCTTAGGAAATGGTCTATTGGCAGATCATGGCCAACTTATCACATTTCAAGACACTCTCTAGAGGAGACACTGAGGCTTCAATAAAATATCAAGAGACCCCCTTCTATCACGAAGGATGTTGGGGTTAATTTATCTCCCTGGCTAGAAGAGACACCTGTTCCCCCTCTCCCTCAAGCTCTTCCTCCCTTCCCTAAAGCACAGGAACAGGTAATGCCTTGAACTTGAACTTACAGTTGACTCTTTTCTGACTCATAGTTTAAATCTCCAAGGTCCTTAAACATCTGAAGAAGTCCACATCCTTCCCGTGGCTACTGAGGCATCGGGTTTAGCAGAGGGTCTCAGACACCCAAGCAATCTGGTTACTATTTAGTTTAGTGTGTCCCAAAGTGATGGGAAAAAGAGAGTTACTTCCTTTGAGAAGAACTATTTTTATTTTTATTGTTGTGGACTCATTAAATAAGATTTTTTCCCCTACTGAGTGGGAATAGATGAGGGCGTGGGGGCTGAAGGGCAAAGCCCTGGTTCTCAGTGTCTGCCTTCCATTCTCCCTGCAACTTCGCCCCAAACGGGGTTTCCCCAGCCAAGGATATCTGTAATAAAGAGGACAAAAGGCAGAGGGCAGCCCAACCCAAGGGCCAGCTCTGGTCCTGGGGTTGGGGTAGGGGGGTGTGTCTTAGTCTTGATCACTGTGGCTCACAGGAAGCTCCCCTACCCCAAGCTTCAGCTACCACTGAGGGCAGTTCCCCCAGGCTCCTCTGGTTCTTCTTAGCCTGAATCCATGGCTCACATTCCAGGCTGGAGAAGAGCTAGCCCCTGCCTCCTCAAACCCTGCCCTAGGAGTCTTCCCCATAGGCCCTAATACTCAGTTCTGTGATGGTACCTATTCACAGACAGTCCTTCTGCCTACTGTCCCCTGAAGACCCTGCTCCACACGTGCAGCCCTAGGGATAAAGCCCTGCTTTTCTATATGCTGTGAAAAAAAGACAAAATCATTTACAGGGCCTCTTTGATTCACCTGGAGCAATAAGCTCAGAGGAGGACCAGATTTAAGCGATTGACCACTAGGCCTGAAGTCATGACCTGCTGCTAGCAGGCAATGGGCAGAGGGAAGGGACCCCCACCCCTCCTCAGTACAGTGACGGGATTGTTGGGGTGGGGGGTGGCTGGGAGTCAGAGAGTTTTACCTTTGGCAGAGTGCACCTCAGGGTGGCCCATATTTTAGGCAGGAGAAGCACAGGCAAGTTCTCACCAAAGGCCTGCCATACACTGAGGGAGCAGACCTCGACTCAGGGACCTCAAGAGAAGCTCCCAGCAGGTTCCTTGCTTCCCCATCCTATTCTACGCCCACCTGGCCTGGTGGCCCCTGCCAGGTCCCTGTCTCTCCCAGAGCTCAGAACTCAGATCCAGCCGCATCCACTCTACTGAGCTTGCAGGTTTTGCCTCTCACCCCGGCTAGGCCTCCGCGGACTCAGTTCTTCTGGGACTCGACGGGAACATAGCCTGGGCCACCTCTGGCTGCGCGAACTCCGCTTCAATATGGCTGGAGGCGAAGGAGTTGGTCACCAGGAAAGGGCTGCCTTCAGTCCGCGATCCCCGGTTATCAGAACCTGCTTGCAGCCGGCCGGTTGCGTGTCCTGTGTCTTCTCGCGGCGACCGGCCCTGGCCGTGGAGACGGCGGTGGCGCAGAGGACCTGACCTTTATGGCGCGAGAGGAGAGCGCTCTCTAAGCTGCCAGGAGGGGGGTTCTGAGGTTTCCAACCTCTCCCACCCAATAGCAGCCCAGACACCCACGCATGCCTCTCGCCCCTGTTTCCCCCTCCTTTTTGTGCATTGTCCGCAGACCCGCAGCCAGAACAAAGCCCCCAGCAGTGGTCTCTCCATCGCCTTCGAGAGCTCTTGTCCCTATCTCCCCTGGGCCAAAAGGCTCGGAGCTTAAGTCGAGCGGTCTAAGTCCACCCCCCACCTCCCACCCCAGCGCCCTCTTCTTTCCCTTAGCCCCAGCCGCCCTCAGCCAAAGCCAGGGTACTACTCTGCATGCCAGCCGGGCCCCTGCCCGTGCCAACCTCCCTCCCATGCGCCCCGTCCTGGCCTCGGACTGCGGGCGGCGCCGGGCCTACCTACAGCCGAGTCCAGCGCGGCCGAGGCGCGGGGCGCAGCGAGGCCGAGCCTGCTTTCCGGCCCCGAGGAGGGAGACCCGAATTAGGCCGCCTGGGTCCGCAACGTGCCCGGCTCGCTCTGGGTTCCCTCGGATCCCACCCCACCCATCAGGCCGGGGCTCAGAAAGCGGAAGTATTTGGTGGAGAAAAACACGGTTTCTTTTCAGCCCGTTTCAGAACCCCTTTTAGAGCAAATGCTCCTGTCAAGTTTTATTTCCCGTTGCAAACCACCTTCCACGCTGCCAAGAATTAAGACCGGGAGAGATTAAATAGCCGATTATTCTCGTGGGGAGGGAGGGGCAGGAGCGGAGAAGAGGGACCCGCACCAACACTTTCGTTGGACTCGGTTTGTCTGCATCAAATAATGCCCAGCGAGACCCGCGAAGGCCCGCGCGGGCAGCGGTGACGTCAGCCTGCAGCTGCGGGGCGCCGCGCGGGACTGGGGGGCCTGGGCCTGGACCTCGGCTAGCGTCCCGCTGCACGCCCCCTCCGGCCACTGGCCGTCCGGGCGAGGCAGGCTCTCTAAAGCTTTGCGCCTCCATTTTGAGGAGAGTGTTCCTAGGGACGCGCGGAGGCTTCTGAGCCTCCTCGGCCCACGAGGGGCGCGGCATCGGGTGGCTTCCCGGGTCCGCTGCGGCGCCTCTCCCGCACGTCCTCGGTCCCTGCACCGAGCGAGGGGTGTCGGGCGGCCCCCGCGCCGCTGCGCGACTGCCCGCCAAGGTTCGCACATCTCCAAGGCCTCGCTGTGATGACCGCTCCCCGGTGGATCCAGCTCTTCGGCGGCGCGACGGAGCCAGGCAGAAATGAAATCAACTGTGGCGAGGCCTTGGCTGCTTCCACGGAGTTTTTCTGTGCCAGCGTCCTTTTTTTTTTTTTTTTCTCCCTTTCCCTTGAAAATCAAATTAAAAATAGCAAACACCTTTCAGACATTGGTCGGGCGCTAGGTAGATGCGCTAGGATTGAAGCAGCCGATCAGCAAGTGGGTATTTTCATAAAGAATGAAGCCGGCTGTTATTTACACGGCGGCCTGGCGGATGAAAACTTAATTATTGTGTGCGTGTCCTAAACCGAAGCATAAATCTCCCCAGGCCTCTTGGATAACGTTACATCTCTGCTTATGAAAAATGGGATGTGAGCAACTCGCTGCACATTTCTCTGATTCTCCAGGTCTTGGGCTGCTGACACGCATTCGATCAACTTTAAAGGAATGCGCATAAATCAGCGAGCCCCTAGCGTCTCCTCCATAGAAGTTCGCAAATCCGGAAGGGCGCCTCTGAACCCACCCGGTCTGGGGCTTAGCAGTCCCGGGCTGGCTCCGTCTCCGCTACGAAAGAAACTCGGGAATTCGCAGACGGGAGCGAGAACCCGCATCCTCAACAAACCCTCCAAACACACTCAGCAGGATGTAATCCACACATATATTATACGGTGAAATGTGTCATTAGTTACCCGCACACGTATGTTATCACCCTCAGCTGAATGTCGCTGCCTCGTGAAGTTTTAAGAAAATATCTCAAATAGGTTGAATTTTTAAAAAGATTAATTTTCTCACCCTTTCTTGAAAATTTTAGTTTTCTGTTAAAAAAAAAAAAACCCACCAGTTTAAATAGATGGCTTAAGCTCTGTATCAGGCATAAATAGTAGTGAAATGCAAAGTGGCATTTTACAATCATCCACTTAAAATACCTTAATAAATTTGACAGTATTAAGAGCAGATGGAAAGAGTAGTTTTTTTAAGTCCCATATTTACAATTTTAAAAAAATGGTAACATGACAGGCCATTACAGGATTAAAAATCATTGTTAATTTGATAGATGGAAATGGTGTCTAGTTGTTTCCATATTATAATTTCTTACTCTGAAAATGTATCCCTTTTGGGGGAAAAAAAAATTATACTTGAATCAGGGACTCAACAACACCATCCCAGTGTCTGGCATTATTATACCTATATGGTGGCTGGCATCCTCCTGGGTGTCTATTTTCTAAAGGTTTAGATTAATTGCTATTTGGGTATTAGGGAACCATCACACACCATGCTTACTTCAGGTTATCCGGTAGATCCATGAGAATTTTAAGTAAAAGGTAAAATCAACATTACCAATAACTGTTTCAGAAGAGAGAGAAAAAGAGAGAGAGAGAGAGAGAGAAAAAACAACCTCTGAAATATCTTCTGTCATTAATTTCAAAAACTGAAGGGAGAAAAAAAAGAAAACTACTTTACCCAGAGTTCCTGCAGTGGCGATGGCTTGTGAAAAGGGTGGTATTCCTGCTGCAGAGATGCTGTTGGCCTTCTTCCTAGGCCTGAGGCTCAGAATATTCCTTACATCTAAAGAAAAATATCCCCCATCAACAGAAGAGTCCCCTTTGGAGCTGTTCGTAAACACACAGTTTGATCCAGCTTTGAGGGGATTTTCCACCACTCTAAACATTTTGGGAGAAAGTTGTTACTTTGGCTGGGTGGCAGCTCATTTAGAAATGGAGTGCTGCAGAACAAGATGTGGGGAGGTTGATTTGAAGCACCATTTTCATTTGTTTCCACAAGTGGAGTGAAAATCCTCAGGGCAGCAAAACTTGATTGCATTTCACAAGACCATTCCATGTGTATGTTTCAAGACCATGCTGTTTTTAGACAGCTTTAGAGATTCTTTCTATAATTCTCCATCTATAAAGGAGTTCTAAGTCTTCAGGTTGGAGAGGTTTCTGTCAGCGTCAGCCAAGTTTGTTATCAACTGATATTATTTTCCATAAAATGATGAATAAGATTACTCGGCTCACAATTACTTTCGTCTTAACATAAAGACAAAATTCACCTCATCTCAAAATTCTGCATCCTAAAGATCTTGGTTCCACCAACATTTCAATGCATATATGCGTAGCATAGTATGTTTTTGACAAAAACTCATCACCTTATGTTTATATCAAATATAGAAACATACATATGTCTTAGTTATGACTCTAAACATAGCATCCAATGTGTTGTTAGGGGTCAATAAGTAGTAGATATGATTGTTATTGCCAGTATAATTTTGATGGTGGTTGTTCATATTAAATGTATATATTTCTTCCATAAACCAAATGGCAGCTTAGAAAACATCAGTATAAGATTGCACACCACCCAGGCACAGCACTTGACTCAGAGCTATCCAGGATAACTCTCCTTCTGCATCCATATTATGGTCATTTTATAGATATGAGATCTTTAAGCTCTCCATACTGACCTCTTAAGAGGTGAGTTTCTTTGAATTTCTGAAATGTAACTCTAGAGCTCTAGAGTTAGCAAGGCATCTGAAACTTTTTATTTACCGTATAGAGATCCCTTACAGCTCTAGTTAGGATGGTAGACCACCTTGGAGGGTGAGGTCCAAGAAAGAAAGGTTATTTAAGAACACCTCTTAGACTGTAACAAAAACGTACAGCTTTAAAGCAGATCTGCAGAAATCTGATGCAGAGGAAGCTGCTATGAATACAAATCAAACTCGGCCATTAAAGAAAAGGAGCAAAACTTCAACATGTAAGGTACATTTTGGACCTCAACATTCAAATCACCTTAAATTACACCATTTTGAGTCATCAGTAATTAACGATACTCTATCTGTACAGATTCTACAAATAAATATACAAGCACACACAAGCACTAATATGCAAATGTATACATGTATACACATATGATATATATTCACATATATACAGGCACGTGTATAACTTACATATATTCAAATTTGCTCCATCTGGTGCCAAAGAAATGAGTACTAAATCTCTAAAACAAGGAGTCAAGGAGGTAAGACCTTTTGATTCCCTTGAAGCTGAAGAATTACAAGGAAGCTTGTCAACGCGAGGTGGCGCCCTTGATCTACTAATCCAGCTGAGGCCAATTCATGAGCTGTCAAAAGTCAAGGTCACAAATTGTCTTTTTTCATCAAGGTCAAGGTTTAAGGCCTTTCCTAGTCCTGTCATTTCAACAAATATCAAAACCTGCCCTTTCAGACACATGCAGACCCAACAGCAGATTTTAAAATACGACAGCCTGGGCATCGCTGATACTAAACAACTGGTTTTCATTTTCCACAGGGAGCCTGGGAATTTATACTATCTCCTCCTCCTTTCTTTTCTCTCCTTTTCAGAATACCTGACACTTTAACCTTCTCAAAGCACTTATATAAATTTTTAGGATTTTAGTTGTGAGGGATTTCTCCCTTTGCTTAAAAAATTTGTAGCAAAAAAAAAAAGCTGAATAATAATAGAAAACAATGGTCCTTGGTTTGTATAGGACAAACCACCGGCTCCTTTTCTTTCTGTGAAGTGCATGTTTAGCATAGGAAAATAATGACTATTTCCTTCAGATTTTAATGACAGTGTCTATTTTATTAACATAATTAATACCACTATATCAACTATCTACAGGTCTAAGGCTTTTTTAAACTATATTTTTAGTAGAAATACTTGAAAAGCAGGTGCACAAATACATTTTCACAGTGTGCTGAATGTCTTTATTTACAAGATAGCATTTTATAGTGAATATGAACAAAATGAATGTGCTGGTTGAAATAATTGCTTGATTAAAGACGTGCTGTGAAGATGAACCCCCTAAACTTTCTAATGCAGTCTCATAACACAATAAACAAGGAAAAAATACTAATCCCTTAACAGATCAAAAATATAGAGTGTAAACATCTAAATGTTTTAGGGGAATGGATTTCCGTTTTGAGTTTTCTAAAAATAAAAAAGAAAATTATTTCTCTAGCCAATGTTTAGTAAATATTGGGAAATACCAATTTATGTGAAAAATTAATTGTATTCAAACCAAAGGCCACCATGTTAGGGTGGGACCTCTCAGAAGATATGACATAACGTGAATTCTGTGAATTATCTGATGATTTAAATATTTTTAAGTGTATCAAATCCTTTGAGAAGTAGATTAAATTGGGGCAGAAAATATTGTCCAAATGCCGCAAAAAAAAAAAAAGTTGTCATAAACAATTAAAAATTATTATCAGAAGGGCATTCCCAAGCGGGGGTTCTCCTATGGCCTCAAAGGCTCACTCCGATGGTTATACTTACTCCTAAGACAAACGATCCTCGGAAGAGCTTTCTCTCCCTTTGCCCCTTCATAGAAAATAGTCCAAGATCATTATTTCAGTACCTTTTTCTCCTTTCCTTTCTAAGTCTATACATGATGTGTTTTGCAGAATATACAACAATGGTAGAAATTTCACTAAGATTTACCTGAGCAGTCACTTAACATGCAAAGGAGATGGTAATGGTGACCCAGAAGACAAGCAGATGTTTACAAAAGCCTCTTGCATTTGTAACCAACTTTCCAATCATTGATCATTATCATATAACATAGTGTCCTAAATATAACGGTCACATAAATACTTACAAGATTTCAGTAAAAGGGTAAACTTATCTGAAATTGCGTATTTGGGGGGCTGATGTTTGACTCTAGAGTTTGTCATTTAATGGTCTGTCGGAGTTGGCGGGAGAACTGGCAGTCTTTACCATTTCTTAAAGTTTTAAAAAGAGTTGTAGATTCCACAGGAGAAAGAGATTCCCCCTTAGAAAAGCAAAATGCCAGTGTCTCTCTTTCTCTTTCCCATTCTTCAATTATTATTAGCATTATAACCATTATCTGGGAAAAGCAACGAGTTCTGAAGCATTTCTTCAAGTTGCCCTCTAGCTCCACTTTTAATCCATTAACTAGTGGTCTTGAGTTTGTTGATAACTTTTTTCTCTTTGACCCTCCTGTTCTGGAACCAGATTGTAACCTGTCGCTCGGAGAGATTCGTCGTGGCTGATATCCGCCTCCGTTTGTCCTTGGTAATGAATTTGTTTGTAGCGTATTCCCGTTCGAGTTCTTTTAATTGCACCTTGGTGTAAGGGACGCGCTTCTTTCTCCCCCGCCTGTAGGAGCTGGCGTCTGAGGGATGCGAGACCACGTCTGGAAGATAGGGAAGAAGGCAAGTTATACAGGGATCAGATCCAGGCCAGGACACAGGCGACAGCTCTCTCTGAGCCACCGCCTTGCAGTGCCCGGCTGCCCTTTGCCACCCGCTGTACAATCCAGCCCTTCTGCCAAAACCCGGAGGGTCAGTGGGGAGGGTGGGGAGTTCTGCACTGAAATGAAATCGCCGAGATCCAATGACTACCCCAGCCTGGGCCACTCTGCCGGCACAGAGGCCGGGCTTCGCTTGATCTTCTGGCCCAGCGGCTCAAATCTTAGCCTCCAGGCTCAGGAGACAACATTTCCATGCCTGATTCCTTTCTATATCGCCAAAGCCCCAACACTTGATGCTTCTACACTGAAGGCATTTTTGAGAGAATGAAGACGGGCAATTTGATAAACCATTTCCAGGTCAATTTCCCATCCTTAAAGTCCATGTCAGGGGCTGGCAAGGGCGGAGCGCAGAGGGAGAAGGAAGCCAGCGAGGGTCCCCACGAGCTTCTTCCCAGCCATCCCTCACCCAGGGAGAGCCAGGACCAGCCCAACTCCAGGGCAGTGAGGGCAGCGCCAGCCTGCCAGGGTCGGGCTCCCAGGGGTGCAGCACCACTAGGACAGGCCAGGGAGAGAGGAGAAGGGCACGAGGGTGACCCAGGAGCGAGCGGAGGAGAAGCTGGGGCGGAACCGGAGGACCGGGGCTGAGAAGGGGGCGCCATTTACCGGGTAGAGTGGACTTCCAGAGGTGGGGAGGCTGCGCCTGCTCTTTGGGGCAGTACATTTGGCCGTTCCAGCCGTTGGGCAGCGCCCAGGGCTGGTAGCTTTCCATGGGAAGACCCAGGGGCTCGTGGCGCGACTCGCCGGGGCCCCCGAGGCCCGGCACCACCGGCATATCCAGGTAGCCAGGCACGGGCTGGTGGTGGTGGTAAGGCCCGGGTGCGTAGCCCTGGTGGTAGAAGGCGAACTCCTTAGCGCGGGAGCTGAACTCCTCGGCCGCGGGGCCAGCGGTGTCCATGTACTTGTCCGCGAAGGCAGCGGCGGCGGCGGCCGAGGCGGGCTGCGCGCACGACTTGATGGCGTTGGGGTGCGGGCCCATGCGCGCGCAAGGATAGTAGCCGCTGCCGAAATAGCCGTAGGGCAGCGCCGCGGGCCCCGACGAGCTCTGCGCCGCCGCCGAGCAGGGACTGCACTGTTTGGCGGCATCGGCGCCTGCTGGGCCCGCGGGGCCCGGTCCTCCCGAGGACGACGCCTCGCCGCTGCCGCCGCCGCCGCCGCCGCCGCCGCCCCTTCCATGTTCTTGTTGAGCTCGTCGGCCACCAGGCCGCCGCCGTTGTCGTAGAGAAACATGACGGTGGGCTCGATCCAGCGGGGGTGGAGGAGCACGGAGGCTGTCATAGCACGAGCCGCATGGAGAAGACCCCAGTGGCGCTGTTTTAAAAAGCCCCCAAGAAGTGAAGAGCGCGCGGCGCGGGGCCGGGGCCCGAGCGAGGGGGGCGGATCGCGCCCCGCGGGGTCGCGCCAGGCGGCCGCCCATTGGCCCGGCCCCCCCTTCCTCCCGCTCCGCCCACGGCGTATGCAAAGCGGGCGGCTCCAAGCCCGGCTCTGCCCCGTACACTCGTCGTCCCCACCGCCGCCCGCGCCGTCCCCAGAGCCAGCGCCCGCCGCGCGGCCGCGCACCATTCACCCAGGGGAGAGGCGGGGGTTGCGGGAGGGTGGGGGCGGAGGACATGGCGGGCGGGGATGGGAGGCAACGGCGACCTCCTCGCAGCTCTCTTTCCCTTCCCTTCTCCCGGTGGGGCTCGGAGCGGCGTAAGGCGGGGAGGGGACAGGGCGAGATGTTGGGTGAAGACCTGAGGCGGTGGGGACAGGTCAGGTAAATCTGCGGGCATCTGGGGACGGTAAAGTAGCGCGGCGCAGACCAGGCTGGGTGTTTCCTGGGGCCTCTGGCGCCGTTTTCTTTACAGGTATCCGCGCCCCTTTCTGCAGCGAGACGTCTACACCGACACTTGCGCTTTCGGCTTTCGGCTGTCGGCTTCGACAGCGTCGCGATTTGGCTGTCTTTCCGGGGGATCCGTGGCGGGGCGTTTGCGGATGCGCCTGGCTCATGAGTCCCAGGACATTCCTCTGGAAAGCTCGGACTGCATGTAGAAGCTTTCTCCCCTTCTCTGTCCACAGTGTTGGTGGGCAATCTCCTAGACTCGCCTTTAGGCCCATAGGCTCAGGACGACCCATTACAATCACACACGGACACAGGCGCATACACAACCAAGTGTACTCTGGTGTCACGCTCACACGTTTATATACAGACTTTGTGCCTCACTCTGTCGCAGTAGCAACTCTTCTTCCTCCAGAAGCTTTGGGATGGAGAGAGCGATTTCTGGACTTTGTTTTTCAGGGCTCCCTTCTCTCCAACCAGTCTGGCCTGTCTTGGAAGGAGTTTAAGAGGAACAGGCCCCAGCTAGGTGCTGAGTTGGGACTCTCTTCTGGGCTTTAGTGAGGCTTCACAGAGCCTGGGCTGGAGCTCTCCAGGCACCTGGGCACTCTATCACACTCTGTTTTGGGACAAGAGAAAGATATTCTTCGGGGCCATTTCACATCTTCCTCCCCATCTTCCCCAGGTAGGACTGGGGAAGAGCACTGTCTCCAGCCGACAGAGAGGATGCCTGGCCCTCCTCTGTCCATGAACCAGCTCAAGAAGCCTTTTGCCCTCTGTGCCTGGGAAATGTGCTCTCAGGGTGTTGATGCTGGAAGAGCCAAGCAGCCGCCACATTTTGGTGAGGGATTCTGGGGTCCTGTGCGTTTGGGATCATATACCTCCATCTCCGATTGTGGATGTTGTGAGTTGCTCAGATGCCCAGAAAGGGGACTTTCGTTCAAAGTGAAAGTGGGTCATCAGGGTTGGGAAGAGTGCTGGACTCCCATCCCAGGCAGACTGGTGAGCAGCCAGGCTTGGACCTGCCTCCTGTCTCAGCATGCAGACTCAACTCTAAGCTCAAGGCACTGTGAACATCCCCACCCCAGTCTGCTCTCTAAGGTTTCTGGTCTTCCTGAAGTGTCCTAACCAAGGAGGCTGAGCTCCGGCTTTTATCCACCCTGATCCCGGGTTTGTCCAGACCAATGTAAGTGTTGCCCAATAAAACCTTCTATTACCCCCCCCCCCATACACATACCCAGTGTGCCCTTTCCCTCCTGCCTTTTTAGTAGCTCCGGGTAAATATTGATTTGCCCCCAGTTTACCTCCTCCCTGACTTGGCCATTTGCAGCCTAAAGAACCAGCCCCTGTAGGGACTTGATTTTTGTGTTACTTTCCGGCCCGTTCACCCCCCTTCCTTCCTCCAAGTGGCATTGTAAAACTCATGATGACAAAGAGACAGGGTAGGGTTTGAGGCCCCAGTTCCCAAGGACTTGAGGGCTGTTTTACATACAGGTCAGACATGGCTGGAGGCCAAGGTCAAGTTGAAAGTTGCAGTCTAGCCATAGTGAGAACTGCCCTACAAGCCTGGAGACTCCGGCAGCTTCTAAAGGAATACCGCCCACCTCCCCTCACTCCTGATTCCTTTTTCCTTTAGAATTCCTCCTGTTTCTGGCTCTGTTTGGTTCCAGCTTTTTTTTTTTTTTTTTTTTTTTTACTGCCTTCTCGGAGTTTTGGGGGCAGTGTTTACAGACTCTTCTTCTCTGCCTCCGCCCTGCTCTTGGCCTGAGCGTCGTGCCTCTTCTGTTTTCTAGCCAGTCCGGGAAAAACGAAAACACTGCTCCGAGAGCCCCCACCAGCGGCGCCTGTGCCAGCTCACCTCTGGCCATGGCATGGCGCAGCTGTCTGCCGGGTGCACATGGCGGCCAAGGCCAGCTCCACATTCTTCCCTCTCCCCACTTCGCCGGAGACCAAGCCCTGAATGCAGAGGAAGGACCCCAGCTCCACAGACTGCCAAAGCCAACTGGGTCCCTCCTCACCAAAAGTGGTGAGACAAGATTTCATTTTGTCTGCTGAGGAGCCCCAAGCAGGTTTGTTTGAGGGGAAGACTTTGGGTTGCATCTTGAATTAGGTTTTGCTACCTAAGCTTGGTGACCCCCACTAAGGAAGGACTTCAGGAAGGCCTGAATTGTTTATTGCGCTTTGAGGTGGATCTTTAGTGATCAGGTTATGGGGATGTTTTCTTATTCTAAATATCTGTATCAACTTTTGAAAACTCTTGAAATGTGATTACTTAGGGGGAGGCAGCTTGCCTCTTTCCTTCTTGTCTTAAGATCTCAATCTACATGAAGTGATTTTTCTACCAGGTAACTTAGTGATGTCCTGGCATGCCTTCACTGTTTTTAAAAGTCTGCAGGTCCTGTTAGATATTGAGTTATAGCCACCAGTGGGGATGGTTTACAGAATTTGGATGAACTCTGTGAATAATTTTGGTTTTCCAGGATTTCTCCCTCCTTTGAGAATTTCTCCTCTTTCTCTCCATCTTCTTGTCCATTGCTGAGGGACCTAAGAGATGCATTATAAGCTCCCCATATTGTTTCTTAGTCTCCTAGTCCTCCAGGCAGCCACCAAACCCGCTTGCTGGAAAAAGAAAGGTCGGAGGGCAGTGAAGAACTGGAGAGCCTTCTGGGAAGCAAGCACAGACTCTTTCCAGAGGCAAGGTCAAGACTCCCTTGCCTGCCCAGCTCTTAGGCCAGACCCTCTGAACTGTCCCTCCGCTTTTTTTTTGGGGGGGGGGCGTCTACCAGGCTCAGGAATTCCTGTGGGATTGCGGGGAGATGCCTCAATTTGAATCCTGGCAATGACAGTTTTATCCTCAGACCCTTTGTAGGCTAGGCTGGGAAGCCATGGCACCCATTGGGTTCTGTAGACAGCAGATTCATGGCCCATTGAACAAGAGGGCAGCAGAGTGGAGGTGGGTTTTGCCCTGTGCTCCCTGGTTTCCTTTAGAGGGGCCCTCAGTGGGTACAAGGGCAAGATCAGAGGCCAGCAGCTTTTGTTCCAGAAGTTGCCAGATCCTTTCTCTTACCAGCCCCTTGGCAGACATGGCTTCAGACCTCCTAGGGCAGGCTGGGGTGCCCTGAGGGGTTTTGGTTGCTCTGGAGCTGAAGAAAAATACCTTGGCTGGGTGTTATTTTAGGGGAGTGTTATTTTAGGGGGGTACTCACTGCCAGCCTGGGCCATGAAGCCCTGGGTTCCCAGGGTTGGAAGAGAAGAGGACAAAGGGAAATCCAGGTTTTAATCGAGTTTGATTTTCACTAGCAAATGAAATTTACCTGCTCTCACTTTAACTCAGAGGAGGCTGTCAGCACTGCTCTCTGGCACTATTTCTCTGCATCTATCCAGCATTAGGATAAACATTCCTGGGTTGGTTTTAAAGACACTTTGTATTTCAGGATATTCATGTGTTTCTAATGTATCCAAGCAGCTTTACGAGCTGCATTTGCAGAACATCTTAACCCTCTCCCTCCCAATGCACAAGGGATAGGGGCTCAGAGATAATGGCAAAGGAGGAAAGACCCAGAGAAGGGGAAAGGGCTGAGGAGCTGAGGCTAGCTAAGAGAGAAAGAGAGAAAAGGAAAAACACTTGAACAGGACAGCACTTCCAAAACTGTAGTCAACTGAACTTTTTGGGAAAGATGCAGGTGAGGGACAGCTTTGTTCATGGTGGGGTTTGTGGAAGCTGAACTCTTCCTCAAGGAGAAAGAGTAGGTTTTCAAGAAATTTGGGCCAATGGTGGCCAGTAGGCAGAGAAAGGGCACGTCCTGTGTCCCTTGCTCAAGCTTTAGGGTTTTTGTTTGTGCGTTTTGTTTTGTGTTTTGTATTTGACACATGACTAAGGCAGCACAAGGCCCAGGGTGACAGGAACATTGTCAGACTGTGGGAAGTCACTTGGCATCGGGGCGATCAAAGGCTAACATGGTGAAAATGGGAGGGTGTGCAAGGTCTAGGAAGATCCACAAAGACCCCTACTTTGTCTTGAAAGATGCCCTCATCCTGTGAATTCTGAGGAGAGTAAGGTTTTGGAGGCAGCAGCTCTGCCTGGTGGGTTCTTCCCGCTACCAGACCTTCAAGGCCACCAGTGCCCAGAGTATCAGGAAGGACCCCACTTCCCGCACTGCCCTTTTCTGGTTCTCACAGAAAGCCCCTGAGCAGGGAGGGGAGCGCCATCTCCGTTTTAGAACAATTAGTCCCAAGTCTCCCAGGCTCCCTTGAGGACCCTCTGCACAGCGCCAGCCAGCCAGCGGCGGCCAGACGCCGCAAGTTTGGTGCAAACTTGGGAGTGAAGGTCGAGTTCCCGCCTCTGAGACCCGCCGCCTTCGGGCTCAGGGAGGCGTGGGTGACTCCGCCAGTGGCCTTGGCCTGAGTGACGATGAGGCTTAGTGCTGCCTGCCCGCCCGCGACGCTGCCGCCGCTGCCCGGCTCTTGACTGAACCTGGAAATTCAGCCT